AAAGATTACAGGAAATAGTTGTGTTTCAAGACTTCAGAATAACAAAGACTGGGAAAAGAAAAGAAAGGTACAGATTCATTTCATTGTAGGTCATAGCTGCATCAGGATGGTGAACCAAACATAGCGCTGAACCTGTTTCTTAGGAAGAAGTAAGGTGGAGGGATGTCATTTCATACTAACTGATATAAAAGGAAAATGGGTTTTGTAACCATTATTTGGATAATAGGAGTGAAATGCACTCATTTAGCGTTGAGCAGGAGGTAGTGCCAGTGTAATTTTGAATCTGTCACTTCTGTTCTGATTGGCACTTTCTGAGTTTCTATTGAGCAAGTTTTACTGCTGACAGTTTGTCACAGAAAAAGTAGAAAGTGTAGACTCCTGCTATGTCTGCAGTCAGGTGTCTGATCTGTAAACTGAATATGTTTGTACACTATAAGAGAAAAAGACATGGACGTTCCAGGAATATTACCTCAGAATTTTTGATAGTACCATTTTAGGAGCTATATACTTTAGCTAATGTGAAAATTCAGTGAATTACAAATTTAGTTTACCAAAATTTATTTTCTCTTCATGGAGTCCATTTTTCTTTAAAAGAGGAGCATTAGGACTTGAGTTATATCCTTGGATGCTGTAAATTGGCAAAGTTGTGTTGAAGTCAATGGTACTATTTCGATTTACCTCATCAGTCCTGGCTAATTAATCCTCCGACCTCTCTCAAGAAATCACATGGTGTAGGCTTCAAGGCTTTTTACAAACTTTATCAGCAGCTCTTAAACACCAGTAGTCTCATGGCAGGTCTTCTAGCTGTTATGGCCTGCAGGTATGAACTTGATCAGCACAGTTTTGTAAGAAGGAGTGTTTATGATCTTTGTTTAATATTCAGAGTTCCTTGGTTAAAGCTGTAAAGTGAGATAAAAAGCACAGCTGCCTCCTCAAGCTCTGAACTAGGAGCACTCCTGCTCTGCCTCTGGGGCTCATCAAAGCTCCTGAGGAAGCAGGGTCTGTGCCCAGCCTTGGGATTTATTCTGCTCACCTGATACCCTGTCTCTGAGCCAAGGACTCTGCTACTCACTGGATTATCCAGGTAAAATGTGCTAACAAATACACACATACATGCCATGCACACCATTTTGGGAAAGGCATGCACCCCTTCCCAGCAGTCAGTATCACACACATGGGCTGCAACACACAACCCCACTCCAGCCAATGGTGCAGAGTCTGCACTCACTCACCTCCCTCTTCCTGTCCCCACACCAGAAGCTGATGTGGGAACACAGCACTCCCCTGCCATGGCTGGAGGTAGAAAACTACACTTGCTCCTGAAGCTGATCCGAGGACCTCTCTCACTGTGGTATGTGGGCTTACATGCCTGATCTGACTTCAGTATCTGACACCCTGTGCTCTCATGCCATCCTCCAAGAGATGGCACTGCAGACTTAAAGCCTATGGAGCCCTCCCTAGGCCTAAAGAGGATCCTCCAACTAGTGACATCCACTTCAACAACTGGAACCACAGGCTGGGGTGGCCACACCCCTAGTCTGACTCCAGTACTTGGCACCAAGTTCACTCATGGCAGTCTCCTCAGCAACTTCTGGGCAGTTCATTTCAGACCCAAGAAGCTATGGCCTCTCTAACTATTGAGCCTAGGATCCCATCTGCTCCAGTAGCTGGCACCAGTTTCTCTCACACATACAGGTCCCACTAGTGGTTTGCACTAAGACCAACTCACTCTCTCTAGCAGATGTTGCTGCAGGCTGAGAGGGTCCACTATTCTGGCCTGAGGATGTCATCCAGCAGTCAGTCCAGTAGTTGGCACTGAGGTTTGCTTGCACGCATGAAGATCTTGTCAAGAGGCTGACTATTGCCCTTCAGCACACATACTCAGGAGAGAGTGGCCTTCCATAGGGTTCACTCCAGCTTGTCCACAACTCTTACACTGGAGGCTATCACCAGTGCTGAGCAGAGGGGAAGGGTCCTGCAACTTGGCAGTCTGGCAGTGCTCATCCTTAGTACATCCCAGGCCTTTGCAGTAAGCACATGCTTCTGTCTCATGGTCAGCCTTGTGTCCACTGGGACTCTCAGATCCTTTTCTTCAAATTTACTTTCCAGCTAGTCAGCCTCTGGCAATTCCTGATGCCTGCAATATTTCTTCCTTAGAGTCAAGACTTTGCATTTCCCATTGGTTAACTTCATTAAATTCCTGTTGTCCCATTATTCCCATCCTTTCAATAAATGGCAGCACAATCACTTTGTGCATCAGCCATTCATCCAAATTTTATATGTTTCACAAGTTAGCATTGTCTAACTCCTTAATAAAGATATTAATTAGTGTTGGCCCTGTGTTGATACCAGGGAACACCACTGCAACATCATACCACTAAAAAATACCCTTAGCATTTTAGCTAGTTTCCTGACAATCTCCCTGTCCATACTCTAGTCCATACTTCATCAAGCCAACAAAGATGTTATAGGAGAGTCGTCCTCGTTTTGGGCAAAGAGATTTCCAGGTTTAGAAGGTGCCAATATGAAGCACACCATGCTTATGTGTAATAAGATGAAATGATAATAAGATGTAATAAGATGAAAAATGTGATGTTAAGCTTACTTGCTTTTCTACCCAATGTTCTCTTCGCTGTTAAGTTAATGAAATGCTTTTCTACCCAATGTTCTCTTTGCTGTTAAGTTAATGAAAGCAAAACATATTCACTCATAATACATTAGGGTAAGATATTAATGCTTATCTGTAAAATCTTTGCTGAACATGGCAGGCCAAGGATAACTCTGGAAATCTTAAAGACGGTATTCCAGTTCAGGAGTACAGATTGTCAAATGACAAACATTTTACGCCCTAGTACTAAAGGATCTTCACTTTCAGTAAGAGTAATGGTATGAAACAAGATGTAATGAAATTTTTTTTGCATGATTTCTCATTGTGACCTGGCAGTGTGGTTATTTCAAGCCAACCTCATGTACACTTTCTCTTAAAACAAGTAAGTCTCAAAAAATTTATTCTTTCCTCAATGAAAGCCTAAAAAAGTTACGAAAGCAGAATTCCATAAAGTACTGGAGCAGAATTCCATAAAGTACTGGAGCAACATCTCAGAATGCCGAAATTGTAAGAACACAATAGTTAGGTTTTTAGCAACACTGAATTAGATTTTGATATCATGGTCATATTATTCTACACATTAAAATATAAGTCTTTGTAAGGCCATATGCATTTGGGGTCATTGTGCTAACTGCACAGTTATTTCATTTACCATTGAAAAATATCAAAACCTTATAGTTGACTTTTTTAGAAATATATGCACATTTTTTGATGATCGTGCTCCAAAAATTCATTAAAAATGGTCCTGTATTATAGTTAAAATTTTACCTTTCTATAGTTGTGTGTATTTATCCATCTATTTATCCACTAGGCACATTATTTTATACACCGTAGTAGTGAAATAGTTTTCAGCACATGATTTTCAAGTCTCCTAGACGAAACATTCACACTATGGGGGAAATTAAGAGTAGACTGCAATTTTGATATTGAATTTCCCACTTCAGACATTTCAGTCTAGAGTAGGTACATTATTTGTATCCAGTACTTCCTCTTCTCTCTTTTTTTTTTCTTCCTGATAATTGATACTGATGTGTCTTTGTTTCCATTTGCCCTGTTTGTTGAAGAGGAAGAAGAATCATAAATCACCCATAGAGATAGACATTGGCTACCTGATGAACTTGATTATGCATTTGCTTGTCAAATTTTAGTAATTTCCTGATTCCAAAAGGTTGATTCAGAACATTTGCTGTTCCTGTAAGGTGATACTATGGATATTAGTACTACAAAGTCAAAGCTGAATACTACTAACTCCCAAGGTTCTCAAGATGCACTTACAAGTATTCAGACATCCTTCCAAGTGCCCTGAATTCACTGGCTGACATTGCTCAGAACTGCACTGACAGCAAAAGAAATGCATAATATAAAAAGCCACTCAACACAGTGCTTATAAACATGGAGATATGCACTTTTAATACGAAGTGCTTTTGAATCTGTTTAAATTGAAAGTAATCCTAAAGAAGTAATACAACCAATGAAAGCAGTACTTTGCAATAAACCCTTGATCAATAAATTACAAACTGAAAAAAAAAAAAAAAAAAAAAAAAAAAAAAAAAAAAAGAGCAACAGAGTTTTAAAAAATCAGTTTTAAAAAAACAGTTTTAAAAATCAAGCATAGGCTTAAATATTTTGGTAATATATAAATAGAACTTTGGAGAAGATAAATAGATACATAAATAGAATACATAGAAATATAAAAAATTTATACATAGAACTTCTGACTTAGTGGTTAGAGAGGTACACTTTTTTGATTTAATTTATTTTATTTCAATTTATCAAATGTCAGCTTATTTCCTGAGCTCTTACTATCAGAAATGAAATAAAACATGGAAGCAGAGACAGAGGAGCACTTGTTATAGACATCTTTGTCCATTGAGGGAATAGCAGGTTAAATAGCAGATACTGTAACATCATGTGAGTCAAATACTTAGATATATTGCTGCACACTTATTGTCTACAGTAAGCTTCCCCCCAGATTTTTTCTTGGTTGCTTTTTAGTTGTGTTGTTTAACGATAAATTAGTTGGTTTGTTAAATAAAAGGCAGTTTTCCTCACTGACAATTCCAATGAGAAAAGGTTAATCCCTCTGAAGTTTTCTGAAACCCTTTCCAAACAAGAAAAAAGATATCTGCATCACAGAGTTCCTTTAATGTGGATAAAAATAGACAGATTATTGGATTGATCAATAGTTTGAAATGAATTGAAATTGACTACCAGTTTAAAATTTTGTATCAAGGATACCTATGCATCATCTGAAGGTGCTGTTTTGATTAGTTCTTGTACTGAAGCTACAATACAATTCTAGTTCTCATGTTCACACTCAAATGATAATTTGATTTTATAAATTCTTCCTTGCAACATATGTTTCTATTTTGTTCTTATGTGCTAAGGTGAACAGCAGCTGCAAATGACATAACATTTCAAAAATCATCCAAGACAGAATCAACTATATTACAATGTTGTTGTCTGAACTGTTCTTAAAGATGCATAACGACAGGTGCGTACTTGTATGTGTACTCCTCCCATTGTGTGAGAATAATTTCAAACTGTCTTCCACTAAAAAGATATTGCGATGTTTGACTCTTGCTATTCACATTCAGCTGTTGCCTAGTATTTCTATTCATGATTTATGATAAAATTTTGTTTCTGATTCCTTTTAAAATCTTTCCAAAATTGGTTCAATTGAATCTAAAGCATTTTGTGATCTAATATATATATATAATTTTTTTATATATATATATATAAATATATATACATTTATTTATTTATTTATTTATGAAAATTGAGATGTTCCTCTTACTACTAATTTCTTTGTTTCACCATGAATGAGTAACTCCAAAATCAGGGCTCATTTATTTAAAATGTGTTGCTGTTTCTGTCTGAAAATCTCATCTTTAAAAGCCAGAGGTGGAACAGTTTGGCAGGCTTTCAATTCCCTTGACATTCTTTGTTTTCTTTGAAGTACACAGACTAGGGAATTCCATGTCAAATAAATTTAATTTTCTCTTCTCAAATGTTCTTGTAAATGGTTATAATATTTCTTTCACATCTTTTTAATTGATTTAGTTCCATAAAGGTCAGCTGAAGGCTGTGTTGGGCTCTCCTTCATTATCAATTTCTTCCTTAAGACAGTAAGAATTGCAGCTCATTCATTCCGCTATCATGTTTTCAAGCTTTTCTTCTTCTCTCTACCCTTCCTCTAGAGTATTTTTATTGCTAATCTGTATCATCATGCTTATAGTGATGATATCAGTCATCACTGCAGCATATAATGTTTGAAAAATTCTGAAATATTTTAGTAGAGAGAGAACTACAAACGAATGCAGCTTCTCATTACCTATGATTGGTCACATTATTATTCTCATGTCCATTATTCTCATGTCCTAAAGAAGGAATATGTCATAAAGAAAATTAAAAGGACACTTTCTGTCATGAACAATGTGCATTTAAAGTTCATGGCAAGCCTGCTTAAGAACCAAATAAAGCAGAAAAAAAAAAGATAAACGAAACTGGCTTTTATATTACATGGTTACCATGTATGCTATTAATAGTGACAATCCATCAGAGACAAGGTGGTAGCCAGGAAATGAAGGAAGAATAGAAGTTGATTTTTTGCTGAATATTTGTAGGAATTGTTTTTTACTTTTTTAATTTCTAGGAGTTATGATCATCCTTATCTTGAGCCACAAATTCTGTGATTTTTAGCAGCTGACCGAGGAAATCTGTGATAACATTCCTGCTTTTTTATTAGAGCAAATGTCACTATTCCTTATTACTCCAAAAGAGAAAAGCTGCCCGTCATTGTGATTTCATCTTCAACTCCGCCAGGTCCAGAAAACATTGACTCCTTTCCAAATGATACCATGGGCTCAGGAAACTGTTCAGTGCTCATGCTATCTTTAATGCCAGAGTTTCCAGAAGAAAATGTATTCTAAATTCAGTTCCCAGATTTGCTGAAAATGTCTTGCAAAGAGAAAAGTCCCCTAATATTTTCTGCAGCTTGGTGAAACAGATCCTCTACTGGCACCAGTTCCACCTGTTTGACTGAACAACTGCCTGGGAACGGAAGGTTTCCAGCTGTGGGATTTTGGCTTAGCCTGGCCTATGATCTGGGGCTTTAATCCTGTGGATCCCAATCCCGAGTTTCTAGATCATGGGCCAAACTTTTGGCATGCCTGGGCCACACTGAGTGAATAGGAATTGTGTTGGGCTGCATGCACAAAGGTCGCTCCAAAAGTAATACCTGCTGTTTGATAGAGCAAAATCTCAGCTACAAAACACTATTTTTCAACATAATCACCATCATGAGCTTTGCATTTTCACCAGCAATCAGCAAGAGCCTGCATCCTGCGCTTGTAAAAATCTGCACCAGTGGGGGTGATCCACTGTCACCACCTCCACTGCTGAAATGCAGCATCCACTGCCTCACTGTTCTAACATCCACTGTTCGGCTCCAGAAACATTCAGCAAGCACTGATGAATGCCAGTGGGTGCCATTTTTTCTGCATGGAGGAATTCAATTCCGCACCTTTGCTTCATCTACATTTCCACATGAGAAGCCATTTTATCAGACTGCCACTCTGCTGCCATCTGACACAAGGCAGCAACGTGTAACGGGATTCTGGTGGGAAGGCTCAATCTCCACTGCCATAACATCGTCACTCAATACTGTCTGCTTTAGACCTCCTTAAATCTGTTTTTCTGAAACATTTCAGGCTTAATCAGACAGCATTTTCCAGAAAATAACTTGACAAATGATGTTAACAGGGTCTTTGAGGAGATATATTGGAATCTAAAATAAACTTCAGTTTTTGTTAGTTTTGACTTGATGAGACTGTAGACATGTAGGAATATACAGAGGAAAACAGAAGACTCTAATCTCTTCCAGCAGAGTGGAAGGCTTGAAGTCTTAACATGATCCCAAACTATAAAAAATGTGCTTATTATTTTCAAGGACAGAACCCTCACTTTCACAACATTAGGAAAAAATGTGGAGATTTTAGTAAGTTTGGAGTGACTCAGCCTGTGGAATATCTCCACATACATAAGATCCTTGAAATTACTAACAGGTCATGCACTTGATAGGTTCACCATCACCTTGTTGTCAACCAGTTTTCTTCAATTCTTCCCTTTTTTTAATTGTTACTGACTTTACCAGATATGTGGTTATTGTTACAGTTCAGAGACTGTGGATTAAAAAGATTTTTTTAGATTTTTTTTCATTAGAAAGATGTAGTTTAAATAAAAATTTCCTGAAATATAGTTTTGTTTTCATAATTTTATGCAATGAAAAAGTCAGAATTATACATACTTAGAAAAAGCTCTCACATGTACAAAAAGGAATTGAGTTTCCCCTTGTATTTTCCTTCGTGTCCTTATATGAAAACTGTGATAGTATAAAGTGATACCAGCCAACTCAGATATTTTCTAATTCTATAAGAAAATTAGCTAATAGAAGATCCTAGTCCTTAAAACCATTTTACAAGCAAGCACAAATAAACAAAACTAATTGAAAATTTTCTCACAGGGTGATAAATAAGTTTTAAACAGGATGATCAGGAGCTCAGTGTCTGTGGTTATCTGAAAGAGACCCTTTCTCTAATTTGCTTCTCTTACATTTATTGCAATGACATCTGGCATTGATGATAAACTCTTAGTGCAGCATGGATCCAAAATACTGTTGAAATGTTTGAGATGCCAAAACTGCTTTATAACTCTAACTACTAAAAATTCTCTAGAGTAGATTTTAGGATATTCTTTAGAAAAAATAATATCCTCGAAGTATGACACCCAGCCTAGAAAGGAAGTTTAATAACATCTGAAATAAGGCAGAATTAAGTGATATTTGAAATAGGTGATAATTAAAAACAGAGGAACAAATGGCAGCTCGAACTATTAACAAAGGCTTAGGAAAAGGAATGACGATTTACTTCAGTCTGCTAAAAGGAACTGACTTTAAACATTCCTTACCATTGCCATACTCTACCACTGCTACATACAACATACACTGAATAAGTAGATCTGTTTTGATTCTTTGGTTGTATAAATATTCATGCTTCAAACTGTGAGTAGGTTCTTTCAATTCAATAGGACTACTTACGGAGTACAGAGCTGAGAACATACTGGCATCTTGGCAAGTTTGAGTCTTTCTGATGCAAACAGTTGTTTGAATTTCAGTAAAGCCAAACTTAAAATCCATTGAGCAGAAGCAGAAAAAAAATAAACTCAAAATATGGAGCTTAGCCCTGAGGTTAGATATTCTGTTTTGTCATGTAAGTAAAAGCTTGAAAGCTAATGTCTACAAGCAGATTATCCAGTCCCATGTTGCCGAAGATGGAAGAACGCTTTGAGTTCTAGCAAACTGAACCTGTGTTCCCTTTGGGATGTAACTAGTGGAACTGAGTGGGACTTGGCATAGCATTTGCTCCCTACAGAATGGCTTAACGAAATAGAAATGGTGCAGACAAAAGTAAGCCATATTTTTCAGAAGCAGAAGCTATGTTTACTGTATTTTTGTACTCTCATGGCACCTCAAAGGAAGGGCATTTGTTTACCAAAATGCTTGCGCTTGGAATGAAATATTTTCCTCAAGAATCCGTATGTAGATTGGCAGTCTAAAAAGTCTTCTCAGCAAACTGGCAGTGTCAAGAGGCAGATATTTCTCCTTTATTGTCTCTTTCATATCAGCTCATAGTTATGTCTAGACTTCAAATTTAGCTACAAATAAGCAAGGAACAGAGCAAAGGATTTTCTATATGTCCTTTATTTCTGACAAGTCCCATGAAAAGTCTGTCAGGAATCAGGAAGAAACAAAGTACTCGTTTCTTTCTGATAGTTACTGCCCACTGCCAGTGGGTGTTTAAGAGTCTGCTAATTTTTATTTCCTGTAATTTAATAAAACATTCAGTAATGGCTTGCACATTTCTAAAAACTTCAAGCTGATGGTTTCCTAATTCTGCAAAGTATTTCAGTCTCTCTTAGGATTTTCTACTGTGTCCACCACTAGTGAATTGTAATAGTTCAATGCATTCTGCAGCCTGGCCACAATATTAGAAATTAATATTTTCTTTGGCCTGTCTTCTAAGTGAGGCATAATAATGGTTCCTGCTACTTAATGTATGCTTGGCTTTCCGCCTGTGGTACTCTGAGTTACCTTTCTCCAACTACTCCAGATAATATCCACTAAATAGCATGAAATGACACATATGTGAGTTGATTCTCAAAAACATGTACCTTTAAGTTGGATTATTATTTTTCTTAAAAGCATCTCATCTAAAAGCTCTTCATCCTTTACAGAAGACTGAAGGTACATTGTGTATTAGTGGTATTGGGACGGAAAAGACAGTCTAGCTTTTTTCCTAGTAAAATTATTACTTTAATGCTATTGAAATTTTGTGAAACTTGTTAGTGCATCTAGAGACTCAGAGCTTTAAACAGGAAAAAGAAGGCAATGTAGTCCAAGTCCTAGAGGTACTGTAGACTAAAAGTTAATATGTA